GGGGTGACTGCCTTGACCCTTTCTCTTCCCTCCTGTTGGCAGCATTGCCAATAGCAACAATATGAACAAGTCTGAGAGTGACCAAGAGGATAATGATGACATCAATGACAATGACTGGTCCTATGGCTCGGAGAAGAAAGGTGCTTGGGAGCCTGGGGAAACTTGGGGGGCATTGGGATGAGGTGGGAAGCAGGAATTGGGTATATAGTGGTCACAAGTTGTTGCCTTGAATGATGAAGGGAGAGTGTAGCTGTGTGGCTTTCTTGAGATGCCCTTGGACTGAGAATTTAATGGAAACCCTGCTCTTTATCCTTTTGTTCCCCAGCCAAGAAGAGAAAATCAGACAAGGTGAGAGCTGGGGCAGGTACTGGGGAAATATGGGCAAAGAACAGATACCCTCCCCTTTGGGCAGGGAGTCCTTGAGTGTCTTGACTCAAGGCTGAGGTCATTGGGGGTTGAGGGTGTCTCTGGTGGGTGGGGAATGGGAGTTGGGGGAGGGAATATGGGTAGACAGGCCTACTGGGGAGGAAGAGTAGGAATTTGAGGATGCTGCTTTGTCAAATCTTTTTTCCTTCCCTGGGTTCTCGGCTCCCCCTTATCGTTACCCTTTCCCCAAAGCTATGGTATCTCCCATTCCAGAACCCCAATTCCCCTCGAAGATCCAAGTCTTTAAAACACAAAAATGGTAAGTGGGGCTGGAGCAATGGGAATGCTTCTAGCTGCATCTTCTGGGACTCATTGCCAGGGGGTGGAGGTGGGGCCCGGGGGTTGGGGTATTGAGGGAGGGCCTGTGATCCTTCTGTCACCCCCACTTCCTCTCTGGTTATTTTCAGGGTTCTCTGTCTGTACCTCTGCATCAAACACCCTTCCCCTTCTTTTTTCTTCTTCAGGGGAACTTAGCAATTCGGATCCTTTTAAGGTACGTTTGGGTCACCCCTCACACACTCACTCTCATTGTCCTGGTTGCGAGGTGGTGGGGATTTGGACAAGTAGTGATCAGAATGCTCACAGCCAGAAGCTGATGAGTTATTTGGCTCTTGTATATTTATGTTTTTTTTCTGAGTTCCACCCCCTTATCCATTGACAAGTGAGATGAGAAATCATTTGGAAAATAGCAGGGTTGTCCTAAAGTCTCTCACTTAGAAAGGGATCAGAGGGAGTGATTCTCACTCCCACTCCTGCACCTCCCTTTTCTCTGTCCGGTCTCTAACCTGTACCTCTGGTTCTCCTGCAGTATAACAATTCAACTGGGATCAGCTATGAGACCCTGGGGCCAGAGGAGCTTCGAAGCCTGCTGACTACGGTGAGGGGGGACCTGCGAAGGGAGGAGGCCCTTGGGAGTGGGCTGGAGCCATAGGCGGTGGTCAAGGCCCTGGAGGAAGCTGGTGACATAGCAGTCCAGGGCCATGTCATTCTGTCTCTGGAATTAGGTTTCCTGGCCCATAGTGGCCTGGGACTGTCTGCTCTGGACACCTTGGGGCCATCTCTATTAATGCTATCTAGTATTCATACAGAAGAGAACATCTAGCATCTAGAGTAGGTTTCCTCCATCCCTCCTTTCAGCTTATATTCCTCTTCCAGCAATGTGGGGTGATTTCTGAACACACCAAGAAGATGTGCACAAGGTGAGCACAGAACCTAGAAAGGGGGCCGGGGGCCTCCTGCGGACTCACCAAGGGCATGGGTTAGGAGTACCCCTGGACTTGAGCAATGGGGCTCCCGCCCTTCCCCTTCCCTCTTATAATGGTTAGGCCTTCGGCCACAATCTGGGAACGAATCTATGTTCATCCCTTCCCTGTCTGTGCCTGTGGCTCCTGCCTTGCCGAGGGGAGGGGCTTTACCAGAGTTCCTCATATCCCTCCCTGCCTTGTCGCTCCACCAGGTCCCTGCGCTGCCCACAGCACACAGATGAGCAGAGGCGAACCGTGCGGATTTATTTCCTCGGGCCCTCGGCGTAAGTGGCCCTACAGGCAGGGTGGTGGGTTGTGACCAGTTAGGGTGATGATGGCTATCTCTAAAGGCTTTCTTTGGCTCATCCCCTTCCCAGTGTCCTTCCGGAGGTCGAGAGCTCCCTGGATAATGACAGCTTTGACATGACTGACAGCCAGGCCCTGATCAGCCGGCTTCAGTGGGACGGCTCCTCTGACCTCTCACCCTCTGATTCAGGCTCCTCCAAGACGAGTGAAAATCAGGGATGGGGTCTAGGTACGTGACCCAGTTGGGCCCCAGGGGCTCTCTGGCCGAAGCTATGGGGGTGCCTCCTCTCCTGCCACAACCCTACCCTCATTTCTTGTGTCTCTTTCTCTACAGGTACCAACAGCTCCGAGTCACGGAAAACCAAGAAAAAGAAATCCCATCTGAGCCTGGTAGGGACTGCCTCCGGCCTGGGCTCCAACAAAAAGAAGAAGCCAAAGCCACCGGCACCCCCGACGCCCAGCATCTATGATGACATCAACTGACTTGGGTGCAAGGGATAGCCTTTGGCTGAGCAGAGCCCTCTCTCCTGACCCCCACCCAGGTGGCATAGCCTGGCAAATGGACAGCTGCTGGGGGTTGGGGCTTGGGAAGCTTGGTGGGCCAGGCAGGCAGAGGATCCAATTATGCGCCCCTGGGGGGTGTCATGGTCCTCTGCAACGGAACACGACTCCTCGGCGTGCAGGACTCAGACCTGGACATATTATGCCTTGGACATAAGTTTGGTGGGGAGGCAGTTTTCCTATTTATTCTGTGAGTTACTGGATGTCCAGCTAGGCCAGGGGCCTGACCTGGGCACTGTGCCAGGGCACTGCCTGCCCCCCACCCCAGGAACTGGACTAAGCCCTGCCGAGGGGCAGTGTGGTGACCCGGGAGGCTGTGGGTTGGAAGCTGAGCCTGGAGGGGGCCTGCCCCGGCTGCCCTCAGCAATGTGAATGGGTCCGGTGCTTGGAGCTGAGGGGTACGGCTGGGCATGTGCTGTCTGTGTGCAGAATCCTATCAAATGCCTCCAGTCCCAGGGGTAGGCAGGCACAGAGTGCTGTCTGCTGAGGTGGGCGTCCAGAACTGCCGCCACCTTCCCTGCCCCTCACAGGGGCAGCCCTTTCCCCTCAGTCCCCATGGGCCTCCTTGGCAGCAGGAGCTGTCCTTTTGTTGCTGGGTGCCAGGAAAGGGCCTCCAGCCTCTACAGCTTCAAGGAATGGGAAAGGGAGGGTAGGAAGAGGGAGATATGTCAGAATTCTTCCCCCTGCCTCTCCTCCCTGACCCAGGGCTGGTGAGGAGTGGGGCCCCAAGGTGAGAGGGAACGGTGCTGCTTTATTTGAAATGTTTTCTTACCTCATTCCCTGCCCCAGGAAGGGACCCAGCCTCACCCTCCTGGGGTGGCCCCGTGTTCCTCCTGCCCACTCTGCTCCAGTTGCCCTACCGGGGCAGCCCAGGTTCCCAACTGCTGCTTCCACCCCCCTTCACCTTGACCGGCTTCAGTTCCTCTCAGCGCTCCTGCCTCCAAAGCCTGCCCTTTTTCCCTTCCTTAGCGCTTTTAAGTTATTTATTCTGTACTTGTGGTTTGGGGCTCTGAGGAAAATCCTAATCTCGTGCCTCTCCCCCTTTGCGAGGAGTTGGGTGGTAAGAGAGGGTGGCCTCTGTGCTCTGGGTTGTCAGTGGAGGGGAAGGGGTGTCATTGCCTCTCTGTGGGACTGTCATGCCAGTGTGCCCACCTGCCTGGTCTACATCCAGAAGAGATGTACCGTCCCCCCTCCATGCGGGCACCACCACTCCCAGGAGCCGAGCTGGAGGACCGTGACCTGGGCTGGGAGCAGAGCTGACAGACACGGGTGGAGGTGACCTTGAGCCACGTTCTCTGGCACTTGCTGGACATGTCCCCTGCCCTCTTCCCAAGAGGGGCGATCCCACATTTGGGTAGCTGGTACCCAGGACTGGTTGGACTGATCGGGTTAGGGACCCTAGAGGGTTAAGGGAACAACAGAGATGGGGCTGCCGTGCCCTGTCTGGAACCCCGCTCTCCCCCTGGGGTGGTTCTGATTGTGGCTGATGCCTGGTTGCAAATTGGTTTTTAACCCACAAATTGTGATTATTTTTTAAAAAGCCAAACAGAATTTGGCAGGAGTTAGAATAAATCCTGGGGCCAGGGCTCCTCTGTTCTTGGCCCTCCGTAGCCTTCTCCCTCTCCCTCTGAGGGGAGGCTGGAGGGAGAGGAGGATCTCAGCAGGCCTCTAGCCGCTTCCAGATGCAGTCTAAGGAGTGGGCTGAAGGTGAAGGGAGGAAGGCTGTGGGCCACTCTCCCTTCTGAGAGGCAGTTGCAGCTCAGGCCCTAATACACTTTTTGCTCTGTGGCCTCTCCCTTTTTCCCCCTTCTGGTTGGGAGGAGGGAGAAGTGGGAAGTAGTTTGGGAACTGGTTTGTCCATATAAACTTCCCTATTGTTCCTTGGCCCGCCCTCAGGGCAGAGCCCCCTGCCCAGGCTGGGTAAGAGATGGGCTTGGTCCAGCAGGGACCCTGAGGGAACAAACCCTTTTCCTTCTGGGGAGAGAGTGCCCCCCTACCATGTAGTTGAACAGGGGCTAGGAGCTCCCCACTCCCCTCCCTCTTAACAGCAGGCTGTGTGGGTTTCAATTCCCATCCTTCCCACCCCGGCTAGGTGTCTGTATCCTATCATGTGTCTGAGTGTGTGTGGGGGGGTTCTGTACTAATTTCCATGGCCGGTGGCTTTTCCTTCCATGCATCACTCCCCCCCGCATGCCCAGGGGCCACCCGCCTGGCATTACCGCATGCTGGGGTCATTGGGGGAGGGGGGTGGGGCTCACGCTGTCCTGTGGTCTTGAGATTTTTATTTTTGCATATGTAATCCATTCTGTACAGGTAGCTAACTTTGTAAACGCTGTGTATTCCCTCTGCCCCCATGGCTGCTGGTGTAAATAAACTGCATCTCCCGTTGGTAGCCTGGCCTACTCACCCTCATTACCATGTTGCTGGGGGGCAACGCGAAGCCATTCTCCTACCGAAAGAGGCTCCACCATCACAAAATGGAACTTTATTCAGTCACACTGACCCTCCATCCAGCAGCCCCAGAAGCAAGAGCCTAAGGGCCAGCGATCCATACCCAGAGCTCATCCTTGGAGTTGGGCAGGGTAGGACGCTGGCCAAGGGCCAGTGCTGTCTCCTGCTTGCAGCCTGAGGCCTATGGGAGCAGCAGCTGTGGCCTGGCTGCTCCCAATGCTGGGGGCTTGGCTTGGTGCCCCATCCCCTTCCTGACTGAGCTCTATGAAGGACTCTTAAAAAAAAAAAAAAAAAAATGCAAGCAAAGTGCTTTGAAAGAAGGGAGGACACTGAAAACTACCTAGAACACGGAGAACACCCTATTCCTGCTAAGGGGTAGGGGGAGAAGGTGAAGGTGGCCAGGTGCCCATAGAGAAGGCGTGCAAGATCTACATTCCCGCCTGTGTGACTTCAGTCTCAAAAGACTGATAACTTGGCTGAGAAATGGAAGGATACTCCAGGCTCCCTACAGTGGTATGCTGGGGCCATGCTAAGGTGCCCTGGCTGGCAGCCTGGGTGCTGGGGGGCAGACATGCAGGACATTGGGAAGAGCTAGGACCACAGGTAGGAGGGAATCCTCAGAGCCCAGGCTCCCCACTGAGCTTGGCCATCAGCTCTGAACTTCAGGAGGACCCTAAAAATGAAGGAAGGTGACATTCTCATTTCTACCTGAGTTGTGCTTGCACAGAGGGGACGTCTGTACTCCCGTGGACAAGGGGAGGCCCTGTACCTGCCTCCTGTGTCCTATGGAGGGGATTTCCATCACATCCTTTCCACCCCTCCCTCCCAGGCCCTCAGGCCCAGCTCTGGCCAGAAAAAGGGGGGAGGCCATAAAGGAGGAAGACCATGCCTTTCATTTTCTCCCTATGTCCTTATCGTCCATACATCCCAAATACTAGGAAGCTGAAGAAGACCGTGACTCCCACCAGGGAGACAGTGGCAGGCGCTGTGAAGAACTGGCGGTAATTGATTCGGAAGTACCAGACCACACCCAACAGCACCACAAACACAGGCACCATGAGGCTGCCCACATTGACACCGAGGCTGGGTGGCTCAGTGGCCGAGGAGGCCAAGGAGGCTGAGGGGCCTGGAACAGCTGACCCTGGGGGTGAGCGGTGGCAGTGAATCACACAGTTGTCAGTAATGTTCAGAGAACGCAGTGTGCAGGCTGGGTCCTGTAGCAGGCGGCCCTGGTAGATCAGTTTCATCTGGCTTTCTTGTCCAGGGAAGTATTTGCTGTAAGGATGAAAGTACATGGAAGGAAAGACAGAGAGTGAGGAATGAGAAAGCAAACAGGCCTGGAGCAACAAAGCAGGGGAGTGGGGAAAATTGGAGGGTGTATTTTTTTTCCCCCCTTATCTTTATCCTTAACTAGTGAAGGGTGTATTTCTTTTTTTTTTTGAGACGGAGTTTCACTCTTGTCACCCAGGCTGGAGTGCAGTGGCACGATCTCAGCTCACACAACCTCTGCCTCCCGGGTTCAAGCAATTCTCCGGCCTCAGCCTCCCAGGTAGCTGGGATTACAGACATATGCCACCGCGCCTGGCTAATTTTGTATTTTTAGTAGAGATGGGGTTTCTCCATGTTGATCGGGCTGGTCTCAAACTCCCAACCTCAGGTGATCCGCCCGCCTCGGCCTCTCAAAATGCTGGGATTACAGGCATGAGCCTGTAATCACGTGCCTGAAGGGTGTATTTCTAAGTCAGTATCTACCTGCCCTTAGGAGGGGCTTGATCTTACACTTTCCTGCTGCTCCCATGTCTGCACCAGCCTCCTTAGAGGGAACCAAGGGCTGGGGGATGGGCACAAGCAGCCTCCCACTTCCCAGGCCACTCACCTCTTCAGGGCACCCACGGTATCCTCTGGCCTGGCCACAGCCAGCTCCTCGGTATCATTGAGGAATTTGAGCCGTACAGTGATGAGGCCGGGGCTGGGAGGGAGGCAGGTGCTATCCTCAGATCTCAGGGGGACCTCTGGACTGCTGCTGTCTGCACCTGCTTGTCTTTTGGGCAGGCCTTGGATGTCAAGGAGATGCTCAAGGCTGGGCTCAATACCACCCCCAGCTCCAGCTTCCCCTGTGGAGTCTCCCCCACCTTCGCCAGCCTCTTCAGCCTTCTCGTCATTACCCTCTGATGGATGGGGGAGTTCAGTTGGCTCAGGGTTGCCTTGGCCTGCCACCAGGTGGTCCACATGCCCCAGGTGGAGGACAGATGTATCGCCTGCTGACACAATAGTGCCCAGTAGCTGGTTGCTACCGCTGTCTGCTACGTAGGTAGAGAGCCAAGCTAGGACCAAGGCTAGAATCAGCACCACCACACCTGCCACCACCATCACCTCATTACCCACACCCTCAATGAGGGTGACATCAGAGAGCTCCATGGCCTGGCTGCTGACAGGGTCCACGCTGCAGGAACAAAGGGGGATAGCATCAGCAGACCCTGAGGGTTTCAACCAGGTCTCTAGTTTGTTTAGGTTCTAACTGACCCAGCCCTGAAAAAAAAAATGGAGTTCAGTGTTCTGTAGAATCAGGGACAAACCTTCCCAATTCTGGCGCCCCAACCTAGAGCTAAAGACCTACCCTTTGCCTCTATTGTGAAACTCTTGCTTTCAGGTTCTGTGATCTTCCTCTCTCACACTGTAACTTCCCAATGAACATGGATCAGCAGGAAAAGCCCACAGCCTTGCCGCTGCTGCTGCTGCTGCTACTACTACTGTTGGTTTGTTTTTGTTTTTTTTGATGAGAAAAACCTTTGTTTCTTTGAGGCTCGAGTTTCTCTAGGATTTCTATCACTTGGTCAAGCAAATATGCCTCCTAAGCAGTCTCCAAAGTGGCTTCAGAAAGACCCAAAAGCCTGGAATATTTTCAGATTGAGAATGCCATCCCTGCCAGATTGTCTCATTTGAGCCTATTTCATTCCTGGTCACAGATCCAGACTGCCCAGATGTCAAGAGCCAAAGAAAACTGACCTATCATCATAAGCAGAGTCAGACAACCTCAATGGGGTAACTCTGTAGGGGCTGTGAGCAGAGACTATGCAGCAGACATGATGTGCTGCCTCTGAAACTTCTGGCAACCCCTGGAGAGCAACGTGGGACAGACACCAAAACACCACCCTCCTGGGTCACCATGGGCCCACTCCTGCAATAACCACTCCCCAAGTGGAAGTGATTTGAAAAAGATTCCCTAACGGCTCTCACAATCCATATCTGAGTCTTTCTTCTTTCACTGTGAAGCCTCTGCTGCTGCAGTTTCTTAGCAAGGCAGGAAGCATCCCTGCTTGCTCCTTGGAGTACCTACTATTTCCCTTGGAGAATCTGCTGCCTGGGCAAATCCATTATCAAACTATTCTGACAGCACGTATAAAACTTCATTAAACTTATCTACCTGTCCTTCTCTCTCAGACTCCTGGTAGGCAAGGATCGTATGTATTTCTCTTGGTACTGAAGTGTTCAATATAATGCCCCAGTAGTTGCTCAAAGAATAGCTGTGGAACACATCAACATCCTTATTTAATATACCGGCCCTGGAGTTAGAAAACAACTAATTATAATCCCAGTTTTGCGTCCTACTAGCTATGTCAACTCAGACAACTTTCTCAGAGCCTCAGCTTTCTCATCAGTAAAATGGGGTTAAAAATAGTACCTACCTCATGAGGTTGTTTTGAAGATGACGTGAAATCATCGAAGCAAAATACTTAGCACAGTGCCTGGCACATTGCAAATTGCAATTGCTCAATAAATGGCAGCAATTATTTATCACACCCACAACTAACCCCTGATGGTAAGAAGGTTAATGTCATTAACCATGATTTACAGAAAAGGAAACTGCGGCGAAGAAAGATGAAAACGACTGGCACAGACACAGGAAACTCTCGAAGGGAGGGGCCCAGCAAGACCCCAGGTGTCCAGCTTCAGAGGTCTTTACTCTGTCCTCAGCCTGTGATCTACCCTGACCGTACTCAGACCAAGCGGTGAGGAGGGGTCCCGCACCCTGCTTTTTCTGAGGCGAAAGTTCCGCGTTTGGATGGTCCTATTCCCGCGGGGTTGGACTGGGGTCCATAAGCCCACCCGAACTGAAGGGCTGCCTGGTCCCAACCGCCGTGCCAAGCCCAGCTCTCCCTGCCCGTGAGGGGTAGGGTCGGATAAGGGGGTCACAAACCGTCCACACCCCTCAAACTTCGGGGCGGGGCTGGTGAACTGGGGGCGGGGCTTGAGGACGCGGGGAGTCATGGGAAATTAAAGGTGGATTGGACCAGCACTGTGCCTAGAGGGAGAAGTTCTCACCTGAAAAGCCCAGACTAAATGTTTTGACCTCGCCAGGACGGCCCCTGGACTCGTCTTTCCGTAGAGCTCGGGGAAAGGGCTGGCAACCCAGGATTCTGTTCAGGGTCCGGTCGCTTCCGGCTTTTCCCGGAAGCTGTTAGAACCAGGGACAGGAAGTCCCGCCTCCGCGCCTTGCACTGATGACGCAGAGATACGTAGGGCGGGCTGACGTAAAGGGTATTCTTTAAATAAAAGGGACAGGTTTCTCAGCGGAAGGAGGGGTGGAGTCATTGTTGGCGGGATTGCGGCCTCCTGGAGCTGGGCCACGCCTTGTGGGCGGGGCCTTAGGCAGTCTAGGTAGGGAGGCGGGGCCAGGAGGGGCGTGGTTAGTGGGAGGTGCTTAGGGAAAGGGGCGTGGCTTCGCGTCTGTGGAAGGATTCCCCGGCTGGCGCCGCTGGGTAGAGCCGGTACAGCATTTCCCTTTCAGCTTTGTTCTTCCGGCTTTGCTGTCTGCCTCCCGGGCTGGTTGAATTCGTTACTGCTTTGCAACGCGCACCGAACTCCAGGTTAGCAGGATTAGTAAGAACTCAGCTCTGGGCCAGTCGGGAAGGCAGATAAGGAGACGAGTTAGTCAGCATCCAGTGCTTGAAGAGTGCGGCCCCAGATAGTGTGGGACCTGGAGAAAGAAGGCGAGAAAGCATTTCAAAGGCACAAATTCAGCGCAGGCTTAGGGTACAAAAGGGGGGAAAAGTCCAACTTTCAAGAACTTATCCAGATTTTTGCAATTAAGTTTTTTTCTAAAAACGTACTGGGGCCAGGCGGGGTGCCTTACTCCTGTAATCTTGGCGCTTTGGGGGACAGAGGCGGGAGGATCGCTTAAGCCCAGGAGTTCGAGGCTGCAGTGAGCTATGATCTGAGCCACTGCATTCCACCCGACAGCGAGGGCTTCTCTCAAAAATAAATAAATAAATAAAAGTGCTGGAGTTTGGGGGTTTTGGAGAACTACTGATTAAAGGATAAATAATGCAGACGGGGCAAACAAGCAAAAAGCTCGGTGGTTTGTACCCCTGAACACTGGCAGAACCAGCGCTTAGTTCAAGAAATAGATAATTACCCCAGAACCTCCCCCTTCATCTCTTCCTCTAGCCATTAACCTCCAAAGAGTAGTCACTGTTCTGACGTCTGTCACCATATGTTAGTTTTTCCTGGTTTTGTACTTGGTATACATAGACTCCAACTGTGTTTTCTCTTTGCTGTCTACCTTCATTTTTATAAGTCCTTTCATTGTGGTAAAATAAACATAAC